ATACTGTAAAAAATATTAGTGGCTGAAAAGATTCAAAGGTAAATTTCTTGTGGTCGAGGATAGCCAAAGACACCCTTCCTTCCTTCCTTCCTTCCTTCCTTCCTTCTTCCTTCCCTTCCCTCCTACCTTCCTTCCCTCCCTCCTTCCTTCCTTCCTTCCTTCCCCTCTCCTCCTCCTTCCTTCCTTCCTTCCTTCCCTTCCTTCCTTCCTTCCCTCCATCCTTCCTTCTCCCTTCCTTCCTTTCCTTCCTTCCCAGGCTGGTGGGGTGAGCCTTGCCTTCCCAGCCCGGTGTCAATGTGTGGGGGAGGAAGGAGGAGGGGAAGATGGAGAGGAGGAGGAGAGGGAAGAGGGGGAGGAGGAGAGGGAGAGGAGGGGGAGAGGAGGAGGGGGGTAGGAGGGGTTTCAAAGACGCACCTGCTCGTGTTCCAACCGGTTCTTTCCCTGCTCTTCCCTAGTCAAACCAGGTCAGGTTTTGTTCTCACCGTCGCCATTTAAACTTGACACCACCATTGCCATCACCCTGTCAACACCTTCATCACCACAATGCCATCGTCACCACAACACCACTATATCCTCAATGTCATCACCAACCCCACCCTATCACTCACCATCATCATTACCACCACCCTGCCTGAGTCTCTCCCGCAGTCACCATACCATTCCTTATCCTCTGCATCACCACTGGTTTCTATGTGAGACAGCACAACGAGGAAGGTTACAGCCATCTCCTAAAATATCACTGAGATTTTATCGTACTAAGTGTGTTAATAACCAGGTGTTGAGCTTGACATTGGTGTATAATGTGAACAGATTTCCTTGCACCCCCCTCACCCGTCTCTCTCTCTCCTCCATATAACCCCACTGTCCTCCAACACTCCTCAGTCTCTCTCCTCCAACACTCCCTCAGCTCTCCTCCAGCACCCCCCACTATCTCCTCCAACACTCCCCACCCTTTCTCCAACACCTCCACTCTCAACATCAACACGCACCACTCGGCTCTCCCACACCAGCAGATCACTCTCACCACAATATTCTCAGAAACAGACTCAAGATTTATAAATGTTTGTATGACAACCATCCCTCACAACCTGACCTAACCTGACCTAACCTAACCTAACCTAACCTAACCTAACCTAACCTAACCTAATCCAACCCAACCTTCCAACCAAAACTAACCTAATCCAACCTAACCTAACCTAACCGAACCTAACCTAATCCTAACCTAACCAAACCAAACCCAAT